CACTCAAAATTAAAAATGTGTCCACTGGTTCAGAAAGGTTTGCAGAAGTGTGCCATAGATATCTGGTACAGACTAGAAGCTTGGTGTCAAAGTTGGTCTTGGTACGTCGATTTCCTCCTGCCTGTCTTTTTCTCCCACTCTTTTGGTCAGGGCTGAACCCCATGGAAGTCTATATGATACGATAACCTTTATTGTCATTGTCCCATACAGAACAACCAAATTGAAAAGGTCTACATCAGACATTCAAAAACCCACAAGCCTAAAAACACTGATAACACATAATTAAATACAATATGCTCCCATAGAAACTACCTTAAAGGTAAAGGGACCCCTGACCATTAGGTCCAGTCGTGACCGACTCTGGAGTTGCGGCGCTCATCTCGCTTTATTGGCCGAGGGAGCCGGCGTACAGCTTCCGGGTCATGTGGCCAGCATGACTAAGCCGCTTCTGGCGAACCAGAACAGCACACGGAAACGCTGTTTACCTTCCCGTCGGGAGGTATTTATCTACTTGAACTTTGATGTGCTTTCTAACTGCTAGGTGGGCAGGAGCAGGGACTGAGCAATGGGAGCTCACCCCGTCACGGGGATTCGAACCGCCAACCTTTTGATCGGCAAGCCCTAGGCTCTGTGGTTTAACCCACAGCGCCACCCGCGTCCCAGAAACTACCTTACACTGCGTTTAAAACCAAAATCACATTTGGATAGAAACTGTTTCTCTTTTTTTTTTTTAATAATTTTTATTAACCGACCAATCAAATCAAATCAAATCACATCACATAAATTCCGAATTACAAAGCCGAATTTTAAATTTTTGTTGAGGGGACCCATATTTCAAGTTCCGAAGGGGGATTCCGATCATCTTCTTGCTACTGCGTTAATATCCAAATCAGTCCAAATAAAGTTCATAATTCTATCCAGTCTTATCTTGCTGTTTCCACATCTCATCTTGTTCGTATTTTTTTTCTTTTTTTCTTTATGATCTCTTCTGATAATCTCCTTAAGCAGATAAACACCAATTATAATCCTGTGTGAATTTTCCGTTCGTCCAACCCTCATATCGAGATGGTTTCCAGATATCATCGCTTTCATAAATAACATCGCTCTTTCCATCATTTATCTCGCAATCTGTCGTTCTTAAGTCCCTCTGAGGAGTCTCACCCACAATATAAAAACAGCTCTATTTCTCCTCCCAGACTCAAGTCCTCCGACAGAGCTTGCCAACATGGCGACGGTATTTCTAACTGCGTCATTCCAAAGCTCTTATATTTTCCACGATCTTCTTAAAACATGCTTTGGTTAGAAAATTTATCTCCACACAGTCATAAATCCACAGGTTAAGTCATTAAAACGACATTTCTGACTTGTGAGGGGGGGGATTCTCGTTTAATCACATAGAGGAAAGAAAGGAAAGTTCCCCCCCCCCATCCAGTCCCTTTGCCATACCGAGTCTTGGCGTATCTTCTCATGATTTATTCTTGTTCCTCCGACTCGTCTTGTTTATCAGAGATCTCTTCAGTTAGCAGTCTTTACTCCCCCTCCTTCCTTGAAATATGTGCATTCTCTTCCTCCTAATTGTTTCTTTTGAAGTTCTTGCAGCTAGAGGCGCGGATCAGAGACAGCGTCCAAGAGCGCCGAGATCCACAGGAGGGCATTATGCCTAGTGCCCCCATCCCCACAAATTCGGGGGTGGTATAGGGCACAGCAGGCAAGGGCAGCCCCCCCCACAACCTTGGGGGGTAGGGAGGCTATTTACTCCCATCACAGCCTCCTAATTACCTCGTGTGGGTCGGAGAGATGTTATTGTCAGCCATCTTCCGATGCGCCCCTAGTGGCCCCCCGGATAGAAACTGTTTCTCAGGCGGCTAGTCCTAGTCTTTATAACCCTGTACCTTTTTCCAGAAGGCAGAAGCTGAAAGAGATCATTTCCAGGGTGTGCACTATCCTGCGCTATCTCTGCAGCTTTCTTATGACACCTGGAAGCATAGATTTGATCCAAGGTGGGAAGAGTGCACCCAGTTATTCTCTCCGTAGTCTTTACAACCCTGGACAGCATTGTTTTTCCCCTGACCGTGCAGCTCCCAAACCACATATTTGTGGGGTCCCTCCAAATACCTGGAGTGGGGGGCTCAAGGCTGGAGCCGTATCGAGAGCTGGGGGTGTGAAGGCAGAAGTTAACTGCTCTGTCCAGTACAAGACAAATACTTATACTGGGCCCGGCCAAGCAAGAGACTTAATGCGGCCTGCCAATTGCAGGGACCAATGTTGCGCATTGTTGTCCCTTCCTGTTCCTGAAGGGGGCGCTCTGTGGTCCAAAACACACACTTCCAGCAGTTGGGACCATTGGCTTTCCTAGTTCAGGTGCGGACACTCAGTCGTCCCCTATGCAAGAGTTTGCCTTGATGATCTTTCCTGGTAACAACAAGGGAAAGAGACAAAACGACTGATGGTGCAAAGGAAATCAAAAGGTCTGCCTCCTTTATTTTAGTTCTTGCTCACCCTTAGGAAGCTGCCTTAATACATGTGGAGGACTCCCTGGTCCTGAATGGGGTAACTGTGGCCCTGAAGGACCAGGTGCGCCGCCTGGGAGTCATTTTGGACTCACAGCTGTCCGTGGAGGCGCAGGTCAATTCTGTGTCCAGGGCAGCCGTTTACCAGCTCCATCTGGTACGCAGGCTGAGACCCTCCCTGCTTGCGGACTGTCTCGCCAGAGTGGTGCATGCTCTGGTTATCTCCCGCTTGGACTACTGCATTGCGCTCTATGTGGGACTACCTTTGAAGGTGACCTACAACTAATCCAGAATGCGGCAGCTAGACTGGTGACTGGGAGTGGCCGCCAAGACTATATAACACTGGTCTTGAAAGACCCACACTGGCTCCCAGTATGTTTCCGAGCACAATTCAAAGTGTTGGTGCTCACCTTGAAAGCCCTAAACAGCCTCGGCCCAGTATACCTGAAGGTGCGTTTCTGCCTGGACACTGAGGTCCAGCTCCGAGAGCCTTCTGGCGGTTCCCTCATTGCGAGAAGCCAAGTTACAGGGAACCAGGCAGAGGGCCTTCTCGGTAGTGGCACCCGCCCTGTGGAATGCCCTCCCATCAGATGTCAAAGAGAAAAACAACTACCAGACTTTTAGAAGACATCTGAAGGCAGCCCTGTTTAGGGAAGCTTTTAATTTTTAATAGACTATTGTATTTTAATAATCTGTTGAAAGCTGCCCAGAGTGGCTGGGGAAACCCAGCCAGATGGGCAGGGTTTAAATAATAAATTATTATTATTATTATTATTAATCGGCATAGCCCAGTCCTGTGCTTGGAAGCGCCTTTTCTGGGCCCTGGTCAAATAACAATAAACTACTAGCCCATTTGCAAAGCTAAGCAGGGTCCGGTATGGTTTTCAAATTGGATGAGGGCCCCGCGTGTTGAGATTCCTGCATTGCGGGGGGTTGGACTAGATAATTCTTGGGGTCCCTTCCAACTCTTCATTTTTTTATTTGTTATTTTTACTTTTAAGACTGATTAAAACATTTTATTAACATATAGAACACATACATTAACATTTATGCAGTACATGTATACACTACACAATACTTTATTTTCATAACATAAAGCATACCTACATTACTCTATATTATATCTACCTATACTATACATACCAGCCCCTTCCAACTCTTCAGGTCTTTGAATCTCTTTCCTACCATTTGCTCCCCAATCTTTTTAAGTGGGGATGCCAGAAATCGAACATTCCATGTGTGTGTGCAGAGCTCTCCATTTGGCTGGGAGCAGGGGTGAAAACTTGTTTGCATGGTTGCCGCCTGGGAACGTGCCCTAGACAACATCCCAGAATCCTCTGCAAAAAGGAGCTTTTGAGCAGATATTGGGGAGGGGGGGCGGGGGCGGCAATCGGCTGATCGAGCAAAGGGAACAGAGTTCCCGGAGGAGAAAGAATTGGCAAACTGCTGATTCATAATCTGTCAGATCTGCACAACCTTCCCTGCTCACAAATGCATAATGCATGCTGTTTCTGTTGGAGTCTTGATTTATTTAGAATTGTTCTGGGGGTAGGAATACCATTATTCCTAGGGTTTCCGCATTTGGGGCAGGGAAGGGGCGGGTGGGGGGGAAGGATAAGGAAGCCCCAAAAATATTCTGTATGAAACAGCCAAATCCGGGGCTACTGAAGGCTACTAGCCACAGTTGGAGGCAGCAGCACTTCTGAATATCAGTTGCTGCCAACCGAAGAGTAGTTCTTGTGTTTGGGTCCTGTTTGCGGATTTCCCATAATGGGTTGGCCACTTTGAGGGCAGGACGCTGGACCAAATGGGCTACTGGCCTGATCCAGCAGCCTCTCCTGATGTTCTTACATCAAGTAGGTAAGGTTTTTTTTACCTGACCCCTGTATGCAAGCTCTTCTCCCCTGCTGCCCTTTACAAGCGCAGTATGAGTTGCATAAAACTTCTACCTGGGGGCAGAATCCAGCCTCTTGGTCCAGTATACCTGAAGGAGCGTCTCCACCCCCATCGTTCTACCCGGACACTGAGGGCCTTCTGGCTTTTCCCTCACTGCGAGAAGCCAAGTTACAGGGAACCAGGCAGAGGGCCTTCTCGGTGGTGGCGCCCGCTCTGTGGAACGCCCTCCCACCAGATGTCAAAGAGAACAACAACTACCAGACTTTTAGAAGACATCTGAAGTCAGCCCTGTTTAGGGAAGCTTTTAGTGTTTGATGTATTGCAGTATTTTAATATTTTTTTGGAAGCCGCCCAGAGTGACTGGGGAAGCCCAGCCAGATGGGCGGGGTATAAATAATAAATTATTATTATTGTTATTATTATTATTATTATTACTTCTGTGTGGACAGCTCTGGCGCTGGCCAGAGCACTGTGGGCATCACTGACCAGTCAGCCTTTCCTGTCGCTGTTTTGCAGTGGGATCTCAGCTCAGCCCCTCTTCGGGAGGAGTTCCCGAGAGGTGGCAGGCTGCAGCCTTGCCCCTTGGCCAACCGCGCCCAGGGTAGCTCAGTTGGTAGAGGATGAGAAACCCTGAGGTTGTGAGTTCAAGCCCCACGTTGGGCGAAAGATTCCTGAATTGCAGGGGGTTGGACTAGATGAGCGCCATGGTCCCTTCCAATTCGACAATGACAGCGGCTCTCAAGGTGACCTCGCCCCGTGCCCAAATGTCGCCTTGAAGAACATGCAGGCATCACCTTCAGCGGTGATGGCAATCCTTTTTCTTTTCTCCTTCCAAACCCATGCAGGAGGAGAGGGAAAAAGCAAGACCCTTTCGTCCAGGGAACATAAGGAACTGTGCTATACTGAGTCAGAGTGTTGGCCCCTGTGGCTCAGCATTGCCTGCACGGGCTGGCAGCAGCTCTCCTGGGTTTCAGACGGGGCACGTTTAAGCCCTTACTTGGGAATGGAAACCGAGGCCTTCTGCATGCAACACGTTCTCTGCCCCTGAGTGTCGGCCCGCCTTGGGCGGAAAGTCAGTTTTGCCCTGGCCCTGTATCTCTTCCTACCCAATTCTGTTCCGCCTTGTGCCAACTGCTTTGCCACTTCCTTCCCTTCCTTCCCGTCTCCCTCCATGCCGCCAGCAGCGTCAGAAGTCTGCAGGGGGCAAGCTCTGAGAAACTGCCTGCCGGAGACCCCCAGATTGGTCCGCACTTTACGGCACAGATTTTCAGACGAAACTGTTGTTGTTTAGTCATGTCCGACTCTTCGTGACCCCATAGACCAGAGCATGCCAGGCACTCCTGTCTTCCACTGCCTCCCACAGTTGGTCAAACTCATGCTGGTAGCTTCGAGAACACTGTCCCACCATCTCGTCCTCTGTCGTCCCCTTCTCCTTGTGCCCTCCATCTTTCCCAACATCAGGGTCTTTTCCAGGGAGTCTTCTCTTCTCATGAGGTGGCCAAAGTCTTGGAGCCTCAGCTTCAGGATCTGTCCTTCCAGTGAGCACTCAGGGCTGATTTCCTTCAGAATGGAGAGGTTTGATCTTCTTGCAGTCCATGGGACTCTCCAGAGTCTCCTCCAGCACCATAATTCCAGCACTTGATGGTGCCGCTGCCTGACATGGGTTTTCAGACGAAACTAGGAAAGGACAAAGACCAACACCCAGCCCTCGAGTAAGTGGATTATTTCCTTCAAGGGAGCGCAGGACCCAAAATATTGGCCTTGTCAGTCTGTGAGCATTCTGTTGTCAAATGCTTCCCTCTGGATGTTTAAAACAAATGACTTAGGTGGCATATTTTCCCTTTGCTCCCCCCCCCCATTGTATATTTGAGTTGGCAGTTAGGACTGCAAACTTATTTAAAATGTTTTTGATTGATTTAATCACGAGTCTTAAGTCTGTTTAATTGATCTTGCAATTGAATTTGCATATGGGTAAAAACAATATTTATGAAGCGGGAATGCGTTTTCTTACACGAAGCTTTTATGTTTTGTAGAAGCATCATCTCAGAGGCATTGCCTCCGATACGCGAGAGGAGGGATAATGTACCTTTGGAGATGGTGTTTGGTACCTGTTTTTGGGACAAGAATATTGCTGCTCGGTTGAATCTGGGGAAACTTATTAGTTGATTAATATGTTTTTTTTTAAAAAACCAAACAACTGATGCTGTAACTGATTTAAACATAACAGCTGCATTGCTAAAGCGTAACTCTTTAAGCTTCAATGTGGTTTGGCAAGATTTCTGGATTGGTGATCCACACTTTGGATCAGCCAGAGATCAGAAGATTCAGGACACATAAAGGAAGTACCATATTTTTCGCTCCATAAGACACACCTGACCATAAGACGCACCTAGTTTTTAGAGGAGGAAAACAAGAAAAAAAATATTCTGAACGGAACATTGGATGTATGATTTTTGTGGTTCATGCTGTGGTCACAGACATGATATGTGATTTGACGGTGAGTTTGGGGTAGCCCAGTGCAAAAATCCTGAGGATCCATGTGGATCTGTGCTCTGTAACCACGTTTTTGCGCCATTGCGGCCCCACGAAACAATGGATGCGTGGCTTTTTTGGTGCAGGCTGTAGCCATGGACATGCTATGTGATCTGATGGAGAATTCAGGGTGACCCAATGAAAAAAATCCTGAGGATCCATGGGCTTTTACCTGTCCCCTCCCAGGCAGTCTCCTTTATCCCTAGAGTCCCTTATCTTTCTCCCGATCGCTTGCTGCTCAGCTGCTCAGCGGCTTTGTTTCAACACCCACTTCCCTCTTTCTAAAAAAAATAAAAATCTGCTTTTTGCCCTTGCGCTATTCGGCTCCAGGGACCACGCATTCGCTCCATAAGACGCACAGACATTTCCCCTTACTTTTTAGGAGGAAAAAGAAGTGTTTTGTGGGGACAAATCACAAATGTCACAAAAGTGATTGTGCTGATTTTGGTAGTGGGCTGCATGTGCATGATGTCTGCTGGAGGGGCAACCCACCCCCCAACCTATACATAAATTCCTGCAACACTGGTTTCCCACACACAACTGGTTGGCCTCTGTGAGAACAGGATGCTGAACTATATGGGCCACGGGCCTGATCCAGCCTCCTCTTTTGCCCTTACCCGAGTCTGGTGGAAAACCAAAGCAATTCTACACCAGCCTTCTCCAACCCAGCACCCTCTAGATCAGGGGTCAGCAAGCGTTTTCAGCCTCAACCTCAGACCTTGAGGGGAGCCGGACTATATTTTTTTGGCGGGGGAATGAATGGATTTCTATGCTCCACAAATACAGCGGTACCTCTGGTTGCGAACGGGATCCATTCCGGCGGCCCATTCACAACATGAATAGAACGCAACCCACAGCGGCGCGTCTGCGCACGTGCGGGTTGCGATTTGCCGCTTCTGCGCATGCGTGTGATGTCATTTTGTGCATCTGCGTATGCACGAGCGGCAAAACCCGGAAGTAACCCTTTCCGGTACTTCCGGGTCGGTGCGGAACGCAACCTGAAAAAACGTATCATGAAGCAAACGTAACATGAGTTATGACTGTAACCTAGGAATACATTTCAAATAAAAGCACACATTATACTCATGTGAAAACACATTGATTCCCGGACCATCCACGGGCCGGATTTAGAAGGCGATTGGGCCCGGCCTTAGTTTGCTCTAAATATTAGTATGCTCTAGATATTTGGGCTGCAATTCCCAACAGCTTCATCCAGTGCTAACCACGTTGCGAAAGGCTGTTCTATATTGTGATTCGTTGCACACGCAGAAATCCAAAGCGGGCATCTTTGAACCCCAGTTTCTCTGTTGTAGATCTTGGAACCTCCATTGTGTAGGTTCTAGGCTATGTATGGTTTGCGCAAGCCGCAGTTGGCTGTGACGACCAGGTTCAGCCTCCGTCCGGAATAATAGCTTTGCTCAAAGCCTCTGCTTGAATGAGGTAGCTTTGAAGGACTTGAGGACACTCGGAAGAACGATGTGTTGCTATTCCATTCTTGGCCTGAGTTGTATAAGTCGTGCGGCGTCGAGCATTTGATTATGCTGGATTTATTTTCAGACGTCTGGGGCTGTTCTTATTAACTGTCATCGCTTTGATCGAAAGCGTGTGGCGGATTTCTGCATCTGTAGCGCCTGGCTTGCATGCCTAAACAGAAGCCCTGGGTTTGCAGGTTGTGGCAAGGTGCAAAGAGGACCTTGTGTTGCCTGCTTTTAACAATTTTACCTTGCATTTTACTGGGGCAGAGCCGGTTTTCAAGATCGGGGCGAGTGGAAAGATGCTAAAGTGAGGATTTATTTATTCGTTTTATTCAGCTAAATTTATATCCCCCTTGATTTCAAGAATACAGTGGTACCTCAGGTTACATAAGCTTCAGGTTACATACGCTTCAGGTTACAGACTCCGCTAACCCAGAAATATTACCTCAGGTTAAGAACTTTGCTTCAGGATGAGAACAGAAATCGTGCTCCGGCGACGCAGCGGCGGCAGGAGGCCCCATTAGCTAAAGTGGTGCTTCAGGTTAAGAACAGTTTCAGGTTAAGAACAGACCTCTGGAACGAATTAAGTGCTTAACCCGAGGTTCCACTGTACCTCTAAGCTACTGGTTCCCAAACTTTCTCAGGCTATTACATCTTGGTTCCATAAACTCATCCCCAGTGCCCCTACCCTATAAAAGGCATTATTCAGAATAGCGGTTTGTATGACTCACTAAAGAAGATAACAGCAATTCAAAACAGCAACGATGAATTGCACATTTATTCACAATCCAATTAAAAGTGTTTAATTAAATTAATTCAACAGAATTGATGAACTTGATTCAGTGATACCAGCTTTTCAAAGTCCGCTAGTCTACATATCTGGCACTCCAACTTCCACTGCCACCCCCTCGCTTCTTTGTGCCCCCCTGGGTATTCCCACTGCCCCGTAGGGGGCAGTGCCCCCCAACTTGGGGCACCATTGGTCTCTAAGCAGTTTACAAAATTGTTAAAGCATTAACATTCTCCTATTGATTTATGCATCTTCAAAAGCATCTTCAAAAGCAGAGACATCACCTTGCCAACAAAGGTCCGTATTGTTAAAGCTATGGTTTTCCCAGTAGTGATATATGGAATTGAGAGCTGGATCATACAGAAGGCTGATCACCAAAGAATCGATACTTTTGAATTCTGGTGCTGGAGGAGACTCTTGAAAGTCCCATGGACTGCAAGAAGATCAAACGTATCTATTCTTAAGGAAATCAGCCCTGAGTGCTCACTGGAAGGACAGATCGTGAAGCTGAGGCTCCAAGACTTTGGCCACCTCATGAGAAGAGAAGGCTCCCTGGAAAAGACCCTGATGTTGGGAAAGATGGAGGGCCACTGGGCTAGAGATTACCAAAGGAGGGGGTTAGATTGTGCCTTGGTCAATGGCCTGGTGGAACAGCTCTGTCTTGCAGGCCCTGCGGAAAGATGTCAAGTCCCGCAGGGCCCTGGTCTCTTGTGACAGAGCGTTCCACCAAGTCGGGGCCACTACTGAAAAGGCCCTGGCTCTAGTTGAGACCAATCTAACCACCTTGCAACTTGGGACCTCCAAGATGTTTTTGTTTGAAAACCCTGAGGTCCTCCGTGGGACATACCAGGAGAGGTGGTCCTGTA